CTCTTTCTAAATCACTGTGGATTGAGATAATAATCTTTAAACATTCTAGATACTTCTGTGATGATCGTAAATATAAATAATGTCATAAGTAATGTTATTTTTAAGATGTTTTACAACGTTTATGTAATGCATGATGCAGAACAGAAACTACTTATTTTTTTTTTTCTACTTTCCGTTACAAATTATTCTTACTTGTAAAACGTTATAAATTAAGATTGTCTTTTCAGACCGGTCATTTTCAATGACACTAGTAAATAGTCATTAAATCTACTTTTTTTAATTATTATTTCCCTCTTGATTAAATTAATATAATCAAACAAATAAGAGTTATAAAATGTAAAGATTTTTTATTATTAGTTTTCGACATTGGATTCAATCTTATTCGTATATGTGTAGACAATGAATTCAATACCTTAAATAAAACTGGTATATGGGATACAATGGAAGTTCTGTAAATGAAAAATGAAGATGAAGGTGCGTGTTTTCTTCCCTTGTTTTTCGTGTTGTTTTGAATTGGGTTTTTTTTGTACTTTTTTTTTAAATTTGCTTTTTGCTTTGTTTTGTTTTTGTTTTTGTTTTGCTTTGTTTCTGGGTTGTTTTTTTTTATTTTCGTTTTTAATTTTTTTTTTTTTTTTTTTTTTTTTTTTTTTTTTTTTTTGCAATTTAAAAGCTGATGTCAAGTTGGAATTCACAGTATTTTTTTTTTAAAGAAGTGTGATAGATTAGACAAAGAGCGTGTAGAAAGGACTACGAACATTAGTATTGTTCTTCTCCTACCTCCAAGGTATTTATATAGATATTTATATATATTTTCATAAGCCATTACTTAATACAGTGCAGGGAACTAATTTTGTTACATAAACCAGCATCAGCATAAGCATTAGTAGCATCAGGATCGAGCTAGCATCAGCATCAGCATTTAAAAAACAGCATTACCAGGATCAGCATCAGCAAGCAAAGGATAAAACCAGCATTGACCTACATAAAAACAGCATTATCCTACTAGCATCAGAAAATCAATGAGTTTTAATTCAGTAAAAAATTAAAAAAGAAAGAAAGAATATTGGTTTAACTATTCACATTATTGATACATAGTGAGATATTATGATCAAATAATTGTAAAAGGCACTTTTATTGCTTTAAACGGCAACGCTGAAATTCATAATCTACTTCCGGTAGCATGATGCTACTTTCGGTAGCATGATGCTACTTTCGGTAGCATTGACCTAATTATAAAACAGCATCAGGATAAGGATTACTAGCATTAAATCAGCAAGCAAAGGAAGCATTCATATCAGCAAGCAAAGGAAGCATTCAAATCAGCATCGATGCTGTAGCAAAATAAGTTTCCTGCACTGTAGGGAAAACAAAGAGAAATAACTCTATAATTTTGGGAAAATATGTGTTTTTCAATAAAGAAATCAAAGGAAACGAAAAATATCTTTAAACATCTCCCCCTCCCCCACCCCGTGAAACAAAATTTTATTTATTACATGTAATAAAGATTGTTATCTCACAAATTCAAACGAAAGCTTTTTGTGTTTCAAGAAGGAAACGTATGTTAACGGATAAGAGAACCCAGTAAAAATGGTCACTTCATAACCAATTAAAATAAATAAAAAACACATAAAGAGGGGGTATTTAAATCATACCATAACATAGCTCGATGATATGATAAATCTAGACCAATTACTTTTCAATAGAAATAAAAACCACTTTTAAGATTTTAATCAACGTTTGTCAGGGTAAGGGTATTCGAACATCCACTCATTTAAGGGGGTTTATTCTATAAGTCGATAATCATTTATTATGTTTTTGAAAATTTAAATGAATGTGAAAGTCAAGTAAATTTGATACCAAATTGAGCATAACTTGAAGAAATACTATGATTGAATTGAAAAAAAAAAAAAAAAAAAAAAAAACTGAATAGGAAACATATTAACATATCAATTTAAGAGCTATCTCCAGCAGCCGTGGATCCTTCTTCCTTGAATAAATTGAATTAATTTTAATTAAAAATTTATCTACATGTGTTTTTTTTTTTTTTTACTTTTTTGCCAAATTTTCTTCCTTTCTTCTCAAATTGATAGTCGGAAACACATGATCTGATCACAGTATGAATTGGTTATTGCAAATATGAAAAAAAGATTTTAAGTTTCATGAATATACCTTTTTTGTAGCATTTATCTGTATGCATAACTACATATGCATGCTATTTGGAGAGAAAAAAATGTTGAGGAGAACTGTCCGATATTGCAATACAAATTAGATTGTTTTTTTTTTTTTTAATTTTTTTTTTAATACAATGTATATTGAGAGACAAGATTCACGTCTCTTGATTAGGCTTTGATGGAGTATAATTAGTGCTGTGTAGGTCTTTCTGTAGACAAGTTTTTTTTTTTCTATGTTTAAAAAGTTTACCCTTCTTTGTGGGAACTCAATGCTTAGCTGTTTGATCTGTACATCAACTATCAGCACTACCACTCAACGAATACTGAGTATGCAAAATGATCTTTTAAAGTGACAAAAATAACTGATATTGAAACATGCACCCACTACCCCAAGAGCTAGCACTTAATGTAAATTTGAATCAAGAAAAACAACAACAATTTTCAACATGTTATCTATAAACATTATGTAATAAACAGTATTATGTGTATATCTAATGTATTTTTTGTCTATTTCTTTTTAGTAATACATTTCAGATGTCATAATATTTGAGGGAAAGCTTTAGGACACAATACATGTACCATGACAACGACAAATAACTTTTGTTTCCGCTATATATTAATGATTTGTGCTGCTTACGGTAAGTACATGTATTTTATTCATTCTTTCTATTGTTGTAAACATGAAGAAAAAAAATTGCGATAGGTTGATTGATTGTATTTTGTTTTACGTCTCATTCGAGAATTTTTCAGTCATATAGAGACGTTACTACATGTATATACCGGTGAAGGGCTTCAAATTTTGACCTTTACTCGGCACTCAGGGCCATTGAGGGATCTTTATCGTGCCAACGCCTGTCGTGACACGGGACCTAGATTTTTAAGGTCTCATCCGAAGGACCCGCAACTTTCACTTTAAAATGACGAGCGCATGATGAAGGAACAGTAGCTAATTATTTTTATCGGCTTAGGTCAGTCGCGGCCGAGATTCGAACTCACGACCTCCCGATCACGGAGCGAGCGCTCTACCGACTGAGCTACCGTGAACGGTTGAGATGGATTGAATTTATACTTTCAAGCATTATTTACTTCTATTTACTTCTATTTGTAGAATGTACAGTGGAGAGGCAGTGCAGAGTTATATCTTACAAAGATGAATGTGGCAATCAAGGCTGGTTGTGGGATTGTAGTCGGCTTAACTTAGGAAAAATACCTTATGAATTCCCAGAGCAATTAAAAAACAAAACGCTTATGCTTGACTTTTCTCACAATGATTTTAGGCTGATATCTCCCAAAATGTTCACAAGCATCTATTTAATTCAAAGCATGGTAACAGCCTTGTATTTTAATAATAACAAGCTAGAATCCATACAAAAAGATTCCTTTAAACAACTGCAAAATTTGTGTTTTCTCGATATTTCATCTTGTTACCTATTAAAATCGTCTTTCGAAGTTGATGCATTCTCTAACCTTAGAAAATTGAGAATTCTGAAAGTTGATAATAATTCATTGACAAGGTATCCTGATGTTGAAATATCAAGACTTTTCTCTTTGGAGATATTGTGTATTGATGTGTTCGGCTCATTTAGATTCAAAGAATCTTTCAAACATTTAAAACAATTAAAGGAAATTACACTATTCTCAACATCACCTTTCCATGTATACAATGATAGCTTTAGTGGATTATCTGCATCCCCCATTCAATACCTGACAATGAATTTCACAAGCCATGTGGACTGCGACATCAGTGAAGAAATTTTCTGTTCTTTTCCTTACCTACAGGGTGTAACAATTCATTTTGGACACTGTGACATGAATGCAGTTATGAAAAGTTTGAAATGCTTAGAAAATCGAACGATGGAATACATTGTTGCCTATGAACATTTACTACACTCATTTTTTGTAAAGTTTTTCTATTTGAATGAAAGTAACACCAAACATCTTTACAACATCTGTGTCAAAAAAGTGAGTTTCATCAATGACCGCATTTCAGGCATTCTTGCAAACCCTCTAGGAACTAATTTGGGAAACTGTATTGAAATATTCAATCTTGCCGAGAATAGAATACATATGGACCCGGCCATACAGTATGACCTTCTACAACATTTTCCAAAACTTAAATTTCTTGATCTTACTTCAAGTCCCAATATGGGGGTATTTGATGTTTTTAATAAGTTGCCTCAAATGGACTACGAATGGAACAGAAATTTAATAATAACGTTTCCCCTTTCGAATAAGTTACAGGTTTTAAGATTAACCAATAATCATTTTCATGATGTTACATTGGAAAACCCCTCTTTGGTACGCATTAATGTATCCGGAAGAGGTTTGCAAGAACTCAATTTATCTAATACAAATTTTCCTTTAAGATACATTTTTGAGCTTGACACACCGAATTTAGAAGTTCTAGATATTACTAATAACAACTGTCCCAAGGTATACAATCATTTATTTCAAAAAGCAAAAAAGTTAAAGAAAATTGTTGCAGAAAATATAAAATTTAATTTTGATAGATTGGAGAGAATATTCTATAATCTTGAAAAGCTCGAAGACTTAGACCTGCAAAAGAGTAATTTAAACAACTTTCCATCTACATTATTAAAATATCAATCATCTTTATTGTCTTTGAACGTAGACGAAAACCTTTTCTCATCATTCCCAGTTTCCTTGACATATGTACGGAATTTAAAACAGCTGTACATTCGTTCTAACAAAATAACATCGATCACAGAGTCAGATTTTATCATGCTTAAAAGATTAAAAAGAGCCAAGATTTTCGTTCATGGAAATCCTATAAACTGCGACTGTCTACATATTCAATCACTCAGGAGGATGAAGGAAATTCAGCACTTGTTTGGAGATCTGAATGAAACTATTTGCAGTGAAAAGAAGTTAACAGTGTTAGAGCTTCTACAAGAAAAAGCATTTGCAGAATTCGAAAAAAACTGTCAGACTGACACATGGTTGACACTCTCATTTTCTATGTTAGTATTTTTAACTGCTGCAATCACTGTCGTTTTCCTTGTGAAAAAATATCGTGTTCATGTGGACTATATTATTTTGAGTTTACGTAGCAGGTGGAAAGGTGTTGTATATTCCGCTGCGAGAGAAGACTGTCAGTTCGATGCTTTTATATCTTATGCCGAAGATGACTATAGTATTGTTAGCACTTTATTATATCAATCGCTAACAAGGAAAGGATTTCGAATAAGTTTTTCAGATAAAGATTTCACTCCTGGATTAACTAAAGCTGATGAACTCTTGTGGTTTGTAGACAACAGTAGGAAGGTTGTATTTTTTGTCACTGAAAACTTTCTAGCCAATGGTTGGAATTCGTATGCTGTACAGATGGCTGTGACTCATTCGTTTCATAACAATCGGAAACAATCTCTTATAGTGATAATTAAAGACAATATTCCCATAAAAAGAATGCCAAAAGATTTGCGATATATCTGGTGGTCCATTTTGAGTATAAGGTGGCCAGAAACTACTGAGCTGATGGAGCAGTTTTGGGGTGAACTTTCTTGTGCCTTGAAATCGGATTAAATAGTTGCTTTAAAATATTGTGAAAAACTTTAAAAACCATAATAGTAGAGAACAAGACGACTACCAAGGAGGATCTTTTTAAGTATTTTGTACAGCTTCTTATCATGTCAATCATTCTGTAAATGTCAAATGTGTATTTTTTTGACATTCAAATATAAATATGTGCATTGTATATATAATAATTGTAATTATGTTTCGAGTAGAGTGTATTATTTTTTTCAGTTGCACCTTTACACCTTTAAAACTTGAGACTTACAATCTTTGGGGAGTAGATAAGTTGCTTACGCAGGACAATTGAAGTGTAATTTGTATACAGTATGCTGATCATGGTTTAATTGTGTGCACTTCTGCCAATGCACATTTTTCAAACTTTTTGCTTCAATAAAAGCTTTTCATTTTTTTTTTTCTTTTTTTGTTTAAATCATTTTCAAAGAAAACGTACCACTTTTATTTTATTTTGTTTCATATTAGAATTTCAAAACTTAACGCAATTTTTTCTTTCCTATTTTGAAGTCTAATTTCAACAACTTAAGGGATTGATGTACAGATTTCGAAACGTTTAATATATTTAATTCTAAAAAGGCAACTGAATTACATTGAAAAGCAAACACATTGAATCAAATTCAAACATATAATGTAAGACATTAAAAGATTTTTTTTTTTATATTTAGAGGTAAATTTCATCAGATGCATGTAACAATCCTATCAAGGCCAAATTAAAACGGCGATTTATTTAAACAACTGTGATTCATACATGTACGTACTATGCACCAATGCGTTAGTTCATCACAAATGTTTTAATTTGCGTTTGCTGTTTTTTTTTTTTAATTTTATTTCTGCAATAAAGAGAACATTTTTTGAAAAATATTTCCAGAAAATTAAGACGTATCACTTTTATTTATTTATTTACATACACAGAATGTAAATTTTATTTGTAATTAGAATACTAACAATTTATAACATGAGTTTTTGTTTTCATTTCCTGATTATGATTTTACAACATTTATCATGCTAATTTTATATGTGCAATTAATTTTGAATCATTTTTTTATACTTCTGCTTAAATGGTTTAATAAGCAAACCATGTTTTCCTGAGAACTTACATTTATATGTTTACGAATGTTTGTCCACTTCTGATTAAATTATTATGTATCGTGTTTCATTGCAGAGAAATAATTTATAACTTTGCAAATTATACATGTTTGACTATATCGAAAAGAAACAATTTTTACAAGTACGTTTCAAAAAAAGGTATACAAAGAATTGCATTCATGGGTATCAGTAAAATACAATGAAGTTTGAAGATTACGAACAGTAATCAATCTGAAAATTCCATTGAAACAAAACAAATTCGGAGGAGAGCAAACACGGACCTCTTAAAACATCAGAGGTGCCATGGAGGAGTAAGCGTCTTCTGCCGACCTGCCGTGTTTTCCTTGTCATAATCTGGCAAAAGGAAAAATCCGTAGAAATGCAGTATGAAAATAATGGTCTAACAATTTGTATGAAAAACGTTAGTCAACATTTTACATAATGGAAGAATGTACATTTATTGCTGACAAGGTCATTGAATCGACCATAGAATTTGCGAAATGTTGACACTAAATGAGACTGTTGATGTTCTTGTCTCATCAACGTATTTGATAATAGCTTGTCTCGTTTTTGGAAACTGTCTGTAAGTAGCGCATGCTCTTGCCTATTAAACCAACCGGGAGAAATAAACTCCACATGCAAATGATAATGGTATACTGCTACATAAATAAGGGAAGTTGACCATAGAAAAGTTGAAGTCATCACGTTTATTATAACGTTTTCTTGTTAGGTTACTATTAACGTCTTTTTCTAGTAAAATATCAAACAGATGTGTTAGACTCTGTGGTATCTTTTTCCGAGCTCAAAGGGATATACCGAATCAATAGGAATGAAAATTTGAATTGTTAATTGATAAAAAGTCGTCAGTATATCTAGATGTTAAATGCCACAGCAAGATTCTTTGGAATGAATTCTGCTTCATATGAATACAAAAATAGGTATGTTAACAACGGGACAGCAAAAACATTATCTTAGTTGAGATGACGTATTTGCAGAATCTTTGAATACGTGATTATTTTCTGTTTTAAGAAGGTGATTGCGAAAGTGGAAACAATGTGAAATTATTCTTGTTCATGTTACAGGTATATTATTATTATTATTATTATTATTATTATTATTTAATTTTTTGAGCAAAAAGAACAAAAACAAACACAAACTAAAAATAATTTATTACAAGCAGAAATTGAATAAAAAACAAAGACAAAACAAAATATATATTCATACAAGTACATATATGCAAATAAGTTTTTGAAGTGAAACAAATGCAATCCACAAAATTTCATAAATTGATTAACAATATCTAACAAGAATATAAGACTACAGTTTCTTTAATAATACTACTCTTACATGTATGTTTATCGAAATTGTATAATTGACAAGCATGCTATTCTGTTTTGTTTGTTTGTTTGTTCGTTTGTTTGTTTGTTTGTTTGTTTGTTTGTTCTTTTTTTTTATATAAAATCTGCATATTTGCAGTTCTTCTCCTTCGCTGTCCTAATATATAATGAAGGCTATTCACCCCCCCCCCCCCCCCCCAGTTCCAGAGTCCCATAAAATAAGATATTATAGAATCAGTTTGTGAATATTTTTTTTCTGTGCATTGATGGGATTTGTTAGTTGATGATAATCACTTTGACACCCCAGCATCAAACAATTCGACATTTGACAAGTATGCCAAATGCAGATTATCCAAGACCTACATATATATTTATGTATGACAACAAACGTCTTATTAAATTAATGCTTTGATTGAGTTGGCAGATATCGTCTACAGTGTTCAACACAACAGTGGGGCCGCCAACAACCTTGCATTCCCCGGAATCAATATATTTTGCCCTCTCTAATCGGAAAATTAGCATGCTTGGTTGGCCACAATCTAGATACCGACTCCTTTCAACATAAATTTACCAATATCCTTGATTACATTATTTACATAATTTTGCTTTACTGTATATTTAAGCAAACATAATTTTCAAGGTCATTTGGGAAACGAAGCTCATTTTGCGCTCCTGCACACACGTACGTGCGCATGCGATGAGTGAAATGACGAATAAACTTGATATAGCCGTACCTTGTATATTTTTTTAATGAAATGCTTTGATACTCAAAATGTAAAGATATATTAGTAGTCTACACAAGATGACATGGTCAGCGCACACATGAATGCAGATGTGTGCACATGCGTACGCGTGTAATGAGTGACATGAAGAATATAAATATTTAAATAATATATCTTTTCATGAATTACATTGAAACTAAGAATATAAAGATAAATTAACAGTCTAGACAAGATGAAAAGGTCAGCACACAATGTATAAACGTGCGTGCGCGTGCAGTGACTGACATGAAGAATATTCTTGATAAAGGCGTAAATCATATATATATTTTTAAGAAATCCTTAGATACTAAGAATATAAAGATATTATTTTATAGTCTTGACAAGACGACGAGGACAGCACGCCCTCGCGCTCGTGTGCAATGAGCAAAATGATCAATAAAGTTGATTTATGCGTAAATCATATTTTTTGATGAATTGCTTTAAAACTCCGAATATTAAGATATCTTTGTAGTCTAGATAAAATGACACTGTTTAAATTAGCATGAACTCACGTATATACACGTGCTCTTCGTTCTGATTGGGTGAAACAAAAATCTCAATAACGTCCTTGTTTTTCGACAAAATAATTTGAAATTTAAGATGTATACCTTACACGATTCTACAATATGTTACAAACGAAAAAAAAAAGAAATCTTTGTAGGCTGTATTTCTAGTACTATTCAATAAAAAATTTTGAAATTGAAGACATGCGTATATATTACAAGGTACTTGAAGAATATATATGCGAGAAGTCTATAAAATACGCACGACCACATGAACTGAAATCTGATTGGCTAAGATTACAAGTATTTTAGTCTCTTTGTTTAAATGAAAGAAGGAAGAAAATTTGAGTATATGTAAATAATACTAGTCCCTACATTATGGAATGACCAGAAAGGAAACAAGGGCATTCATCCAAGTGTGCTGAATTCTGATCGCTTATATTCGGATTGTTGTAACCTTCTATTTTTTCAGTAAAAATTCTTTTAAATCTCCAATGTATCTTTAAAAAGTGACATACTTTGAGATGATATATATGTAAATTTTCGAAATCATCTGCATGCACATGTACTAAATGAACATTGTTATATCCATAACACATTGGAAAATTAGTTGTGAAAGTATATAATACAAAGCTTTTACCAAATTTAATGACGTTTAGAGAGGAGGGGGCACCCAGCTGGGAAGTAGGGGAGCGTTTTGGGAACATCTGTAACGGTCTCCGTTATAATTAGTACTAGTTATAAATTTTATTTACAAAAGAAAATCCTTTACGACGTTTATTGTTTAAACCTGTAAACGAAATGCATGAAATTTGAAATGAAAATCTTGTCCTGTTTGATTGTTTAAACTACTGAAGAAAATGCATTACCCCGCTGTTCCACCAAAAATATTATAGTCACTACTAGATTTTATACTAAGTGTACCGTTTCTTTGTAAAATTGAACAGTAGCAAGATGGTAGGAAAAAAATATTTTATATACGCCTAACATTTCAATATAGGATACATTTATGAAAATATAATTTAATTTAATAAAACCAGACAATAACCTCCAAGAAGGAAATACTCTCCTCAAAAAGTAAATTTCTTGAAAGTTTATGATATTCTAGCAACGTAATACGTAAGAATAAATATCAAACATATTAAGAACTAAACTACGCAAAATTTGTGACAAATTCTGGTAAAAAAGGAAATAAACAAAAGTCATCTGTCTCAGGAGCGGGTCTTCTTTTCTTGATGAAATTGTAGTGATTTTATACATAGGAATGTTTCTATAAATTTATTGTCAATTTTCCTTTTCTAAGAAAC